TTTTTTTTTCCTTGGGTCCATTTGGGTTGTCCATAATTTTAAAATCCTCCAAATTGATATTATATTAATATTTTTAATTTGTTTGATTGATTATGAGAAAAGCCCACGACATGGTAGTCATGACTAGTTTTTTTCCTTTTATTTTTGGATTTTGGTATAATGTCTCTCACCTCTAGTATAAAATGAATAATGCTACTTGTATCCCTTGGTGTACCACTTGGTTTACATTCAAAGGGTACATGTACCCATTTACCCTTAATGAATAATTTAGTAAATTATTCATTAAGGATAAATGGGTACATGTACCCCTTGGATGTAAACCAAGTGGTACACCAAGGGGTACATGTAGCATGATCTATATAAAATACCCTATTAATGCTATCGACTTAGTTGTCGGTGTCAAAGAACACCATTTGCACGTCATAGCTTGCGACCTCTGCTGTGATAAATAAGACGTCGTTGTGCGGGGCAGAGATACACTGCACATCTTTCATCCCGAACTTTAGTGTGACCTCAAATTGTTGGGCTTGGACTTCTGCGACCTCTATTATGATTTCCCACACATCATTTTTTCTTTCGTTATGAGAGTACCCATCGATAGGACCTCCTGCAATCAATTGGATTACGCCCTTATTGGGCGGCCTATCATGTACTCATATGACCGTTTTTGTTTTTCCACGACCTCCATATTGTCTCTATTTTATTTGTCCTATAGCACGGACTCTTTGAGATACCCAGCTCGGATGAGCTATTTGATCTCATTGTTTAGCTCTCTGCTGCTCTGCATATGTTGGTCGAATGACCGCAATCCTTGTGATATCGATAATATATATGCATCACCTCATTGGGGGATATACCCTCTTTTCCTCGGAATGGGGTTGGGTCAGAAGAGAATTACCGTGTTCCCCCGGTGTTTGTAGTTTTTAGTCGAGTACGGGATAAATCCCGACCTGGGGTCGTCTTCTTGTAGGAAGGTTGTTCGGAGCTTCTTTTACTATCTAGTTGTCAAATCACAAGACCGAAAATAAGGTCCTAAACATGCTACACGCTTGATTGTGGGTTGAATTGAACTAATTATGCTAAGAATTATAGAGCAAAGGATGACAGATGCAAGCTTTGAAAGAAAGATTGGAACTTTGGATGACCGGCGTCTCCTAAACTTGACAAAAATGTGAATAAACAAAGAGAAACTGCGAGCAAAGTGATCCTAGGTAATCTAACACAAGTCTTCTTCACTAAATCACCACGCTTTGAGTAAAATCGAGACCCTTACACAAGATAAGCACGCATTGAATTCCTAACACACATACGCAAGCATTGAAAGTAAAGCAAAGTCTTAAAATCGAGCATCAACACAAAATTCTGGCCAAAACACAAACTCGAAGTAATAAGCCACAATCAAGGTACTTACCCTCCTGTTGTTTATAAATTGAATTGTGGATAAAAATAAA